TGGTGCTCTGTCAGCCCAAGACAGGGAGATGTTTGGTAGCAGGACAATGAGTATGTGCTTCATGTCACCTGGCCATTCCAGAAACTCCAAAGGGCCAAACATAGAGTACATTATCCACCAACATCTTCTCACTAGGAATTGGATATATTCCTAAGGTCACACATGGGACAGTAACAACTCAGAGAAAGGATGAGACTTCAAGCCTGTCCTGGAGGTGACAGCCCCCTCCTTCTCCAGAGGCACAAAAAAATTCAGATCTGGGGTTCACATCTCAGCTCTGCTACTTAGAGCTATGAGACTTTGGGTTTATTTGACGCTAATTGTAGTTTCCTCATCCATGACATGGGGAGAATGATATACCCACCTTATGTGGTTGAGGTAAGGGTTAAACAAGATAAGGTATGTGACGTGCTTTGTAAACCAGTCAGCTCTACCTAAATATTAACCAAAGGACCAAAAGATGAGAGGAACCAAAGTCATCCATTGGTGGTGCCCTATCCTCAGTGCTAACCTAGCTGACTTCTTCCTCTCCAGGACAAAAGTGAAGCCACCAGGGGAGCCCTCTCCCGAAGGCCTTGTCGCCCCAGACCTAATTCACTCCCTCCCACCCTGCCTGAGGAAGAAACTCGCAGGATTGCACGGATATTTTCTTCCCAGTACTCCCAGAAAGACTGATGCAGCCTGAGGGACTGAGGGAAAGAACAACCTGCCCACCCTCCCTCAGCCTTGCCCAGCTTGCAGGAGGCACCAGGTTTGGCTTCCTGAAACCACCACCAGCTAGTCCATGGGCACCTTGAGAAACCCAGACAGCCCAGACTAGAGGAGTGTCCCAAACCAGCCCAGTGTCCACCTGCCAGGACTTCAGCTTCTTTCTTCTATGGTGACACAAAAGCTAGAAACAAAATGGATTCCAGCGCCAAAGTGGCCCACCCATCTTTTGACCAAGGGACCCAAATAGACAACTTTCAGTGGAGAAACTCCTCCCAGTGTCCTTGACACAGCTGACTGCTGACATGAGCCCACCCTCTGCCGGAATATGATGGGCCATTTTTGCCTTAAAGGTTGGGGAGGGAGAGGGTGTAGATTGTGTTCATAGCTGAGGAAATCCTACGGCCACCTCCAGTTCATTTGTGTGGGAGTAAGGGTATTTTATAGATATAAATTATTTTTATGCTGTATCAAATTAATAGGAGAGAAGGGAGAAATCACCTCCATCAAACTTTTAATCTGATTGTCTGAAATTCTAACCATGCTTTTAACTTATTATTTTTACCCAGCTCTGAAGGTCATTCCTGCCTGTGCGTGAATAAAATCATATTGGTGTTTGTATTCCGTGCACAAGCGTTTGCTGGGTCGGCCACTGGAGTAGGGATGCTAGGAATTTGTTTTCACTCTAACTGCTAGAGAGAAAGTTTGACAACCGTACAGTCCCTTAGAGAAGCTTGTCTGGAACAGGGAACCAGGGTCACCATGAGACTTCTGAGCTCCTCCAAAGATCAGGTTGGTCCAGGTTACAGTGACACCCAGTATTTCCTTTGGTGGTGCTTAAAATCTATCAGCAAAGCGGGGGAGTCTCCTGGAACAGGCCCCTCAGAATCCCCCTTGTCTCTAGGATGGGAAACTCTAGCTTAGACTGTCAGACTGCAAACAGCTGAGTGGCTACACTAGAAAAGGCCCCGTGAAGAGGACAAGAAAGGGCACAGATGTGTAGAGTACGCAGTGTGGCTGGGCGACAGGGTTGGAAGGGAACGTGGAGGGTCCTACTGTTCACCCCAAGTGCATGTCATTTCAGTCCTCAAAACAGCTTCATAACTAGATATTATGATGCCCCTTTTGTGGTTAAACTGAGGCTCAACAAAGTTTAGTGTTTTGCTTCTGTTTATGTGGTTAGGAAGTAAATCACCAAGAGATGTCACAAGGCTGCTGCACTCAGTGATGAAAACAAGGTAAGTGTTGAAGGTGGGGAAAGACCATGTAGGTGGAGCAATCAAGGGAGGCTTCCTAGAAGAAACAGGGTGAGCCCAGAGAATTGGCCATGGCCAGGCCATGGAAAGCTGCGGAGAGAATCAGGAGGGTGCTCTGAGCCACATGCAACTGGAGTTAGAGAAGAGACTCGTCTGGCTCTGTCTGAGTTCTGCAGCCTCATCTGTAAAACATAACCCCAGACTGGGCGCGGTGGCTCACGCCTATAATCCTAGCTCTCTGGGAGGCCGAGGCGGGTGGATCGCTCAAGGTCAGGAGTCGAGACCAGCCTGAGCAAGAGTGAGACCCCCGTCTCTACTAAAAATAGAAAGAAATTATCTGGACAACTAAAATATATATATATAGAAAAGATTAGCCGGGCGTGGTGGCGCATGCCTGTAGTCCCAGCTACTCGGGAGGCTGAGGCAGGAGGATGGCTTGAGCCCAGGAGTTTGAGGTTGCTGTGAGCTAGGACGCTACGGCACTCTAGCCAGGGCAACAGAGCCAGACTCTGTCTCAAAAAAAAAAAAAAACATAACCCCAGCTTCATAGGGTTGTGACGAAGATCAAATGAGGTGACATTTGTGAAAGTGCTTCGCCTACACTTGGCACATAGTGGAAGCTTAAGAAATGTCAGCCCCACCCACTCTCCTGAAGCTCCAGGAGTAACCCAGCAGAGGCAAGCGCACCAATAACTGAGACAGGCAGAGCACACTGGGCCTCGGAGAGTGCAAAGTGATGGAGGAACCCTCGAGGAGGGAGCAGGTACTCTCCTTATTGGTGATGTGCCCTCAGGCCAGCCTTTCCACCTTCTGTTTATCTCAGCTCCCTAAGCTTCAGCCTGCCAGCCCACCCTTTCTCCAGCACCACAGAGGCTGTCCTCTCTCCTGGGTCTCCCTCTCACATTGCCAGTGCACAGCTCTCAGGGGCCAGGGATGCACCTCCCTTGGGACACAGGGAACCTACAGAGGGACAGTCATGGGCCCAGGCCTGAGGGGTAAAGCCTCAGGTGAAGAATATTCCTTCCAAATCCTGCTCCAGCTCCTGTAAATAACCTGATGGGGTCAAGTTAGGATACGGCCACATGAGGACATGGGTTGCTCCTACCCAGGCTAAGAGCAGTGTCCAGTGACACAAAGGGACCCTGAGGATCTGACACCCACCACCTCCTCTTCCAAAGAATATGTTACGTACCACAATCTTGTCCCTGGAAGTTGGATGTATTTCCCAGTGCCAGCTCTGAGGTGAAATGGCTTGCTGAGTCATGCAGCATAGATATGAGGAAGATGTTTGTTCCCACCACCAGAACTAGCCAGTGTCTCCCCCACTTCCCTTTGAGTACTGCCTCCACAGAGACTGGAATGTAGGTGTTCCTGATCACCAGAGGCTGGTCGCATCCCAGCCCATAGCAGCCAACCTTGGAATCTTCTAGTACGGGCTGGATGCAGGACAGGGAACCAAAGCAAGCAGACCTGGCCCTGCCCTTAGGAAGCACCCTGGCCAAAGTAAGCTCAGCACCCTTCCCTCTGGGTTTTTCCAGGGCCTATTGCCCCTATGTTTGAGTTCCTACTGTTTATCCCTCCCCCATAGACTCCCTGCAATTTACTCCTCCACCTCCAGGCTAGTATTGCCAGTGGAGCTCAGAACCTACTTCCTGAACCCTCCTCGTCTCAGCAGCCCCAGCAGCCACTCCCTGCTAACATAATGCGTCTGCCTGTTCTGCTGACATTCAGGGCTGGTCCAAGGAAGGGGACAGGTACAGCCCAAGCTTTGCACTTGAGCGTCTGTAGTTCTAACCACCTGCCTTGTGACCATGGCTCTGTGCCCAAGTCCGGAAATGGCCTCTGCCTACTCCTCTGCCCTACCCAGTTAACTTCCTTTGTGTATCTCCCATCTCCCCCTCCTCTCCTGCCCCCACTTTTCTGTGTCATCTAGGTCCCAAGTTCAGCCATGCCCAGCCCTTACTCTCAGTGCTTATGGATGGAGCCTACAGTAGCTGCTGCAGGAGACCCTTCCACCCTTCCCCAGCTCCCTTTGACTCCAGCAGTGTTCATGCTGAAGCCTCCAAGTATCATGTCATAGAGAAGAGTGGTCACAGCAGATAGGCCCAAAATGCGTTATAGTTGAGAGGTTAGAGGTCAGGCTCTGCCGCATACTAGCTATGTGACCCGAGTAAGCCACTGCCCTCCCTGAGACTGAGTTTTCCCCTCTGTTAAACAGTAAAATTTTAGGATCCCCAGCAATAAGGAATGAAGTACTAACACGTACTACAACATGGATGAACTCTGAAAGCACTGTTATGCCAAGTGAAAGAAGCCAGTTATAAAAGAGCACATCCTGTATGATTCTATTTATATGAAATATCCAGAATAGGCAAATCTATAGAGGCAAAAAATAGATTAGTGGTTGCCTGAGGCTGGGGGAGGGGAAGGGGACGTGACTACTAATGTGTATGGAGTTTTTTTTGGGGGGTTGATGAAAATGTTAGATTGTGGCGATAGTTGCACAACTCTCAATATACTAAAAACCATTTGAATTGGTACATTTGAAATAGGTGAGTTGCATGGTATGCAAATTATATCTCAATAAATCTGTAATTTAAAAAATTTAGAATCCTAATAGCACCCACTTTATAGGGTTGTGAAAAATAAAAACAACGTATATAAAACATTTAGCACATAGTAGGCACCAAAAAATGAGCAGTTATCATCATTGTTATTATTAAGAGGAGGCCTGAGAGAGTTGCCCCAGCCTATGATGGGAGACCTTGACCTATGGATTGTCAAAAGTGATGGGTCCACCCCCCACCATATACCCTTGTCACCACCCAAGGAAGCTTTCACAGCTTGAAGGAGCTATATTAAAGTGCCCACAGTCAAGAGAACTGAACCAAATCTGGAACTCACTGACCTCTCCCCTCACCTCCCTGCTCCTCACCAGCCAGCCTCTCGTCAAGTGATCAGGCTGTCAACTAGCTTCTCTAGGATAAGGTTTCAGGTCAGCGGGAATGTATAAGACCAGTGCCAAGCTGAGGCGACAGAGACAACTGTGAATGGCAAGGGGGGCCCTCAGATCCCTGCTGCCACCTCCTGGGATGGAGCCCTAAGAAGCCCTTGTGCTGCCCCTGCCCTGGCTGGACTCACAGGTAAGACCCCTTTCTCCTCCCCACCCCTCCACTCTCCCTCTCCCTTCCTGTTCTCCCTTTCACTGGAGGCTTATAGAGAGCAGCCAGGAGTTGTCAGCAATCATTAGCCATAGCATGACAGACCTGAGAAACTCAGTCCAGCCCCTCACCTTGTCAAGATGAGGGAACTGCAGCCCTGGTAAGGGCACTGTGGCAGGGCTGGGACTTGAACCCAACACCTGTGTCACTCACCCAGGACTCACTCTCCCCTTGCCCCACTAGCTGATTCAGGTGGGATTGTGCAAATCCCCGTAGATAGGAAGTGCTTTCTTCTTTGCCTGGCCCAGAATCTCTAGGATTCCTCCAGAGCATAAAACCCTCTCCACGTGAGGATCTTGGGACCGTTTTCCTGAGTCAGGATGTGGGGGGCACCTGTGGCCTGGGGCCTTGCCCTGGTTATGTGCCAGGAGGTTTACAGAGCCCATGGTCACTCTGCCCAGATGGCTTCCCGGTGGGATGCTTTGCCAGGGAGGGTGGGATTGGAGTTGGGGAGGCAATAGGATGTCTCAAAGTGGGGTCCTCTGAGCCCTACTTCTGAGCTACCATGGGGAATTTGTTTCTAACACAGACTCGATCTCCAGGGCTGAGGGTGGAGAATCCACTTAGTAAACAAGCAGCTCAAGGGATTCTGAGCTTCCCCTGACGACAGACTCTCTGGGCAGTGGAACAGGCACAGACCTAGGTGCCAATCTCAGCTCCATCACTGCAGCTGTATGACTAGCCAGAGCCCTCAAAGCCTCAGGTCCCTGGTTTAGGAAGTGGAAATAATGATAGCAACTACCTTATAGCTTTATAAAGAGATTGAATTAGTCAATGTCTGTAACCTCAGCAGGGCGCCTGGTGCAGGAAGCACTCAGCAAATATTGATGGGCTGTGCAGGCTAGAACATCCCATCCCTCAGGTACTCCAACAGAGCTACAGGGATAAGGACTCTCTTGACTTCCTCTACTAGCCAGTGGTGAAGGTCTGCTGGCTGCTAGGGTTCTAGGGGAGGCTGGAGTGAAGGGAAGGAGGCTGAAAGGCACTGGCCTCAGGGCAGCCCCTACCTGTGCCCACCACTGTGGCCTCCCACCCCCAATTTCACTGAAAGTTCTAGAGCCTTCCCCGCAAGGTGTGTGTGGCTTTTGACCTGAGTCCATGTCCATCAGTTCCATTTCCCCTGGTGGCTCAGGACTGCCCCTGGAATGGGCTCCAACTTTGCCCCTGGCCACTGCTCTTGACCAAGTTCAGGCTTCAGTACCTCCTGCTGGCACTATTCCAGCAACCTCCTCACTGGTCTTAGAGCCTCCCACCTCTCCCTTCCAGTCCAGCCTTGACACCTGCACCAACATGCTCTGAGCACAGGTCTGACTGTTGCTGGAAAACCACCAACCACTCTCCCTTCTCAACTAGATTAAGTAACCCGGGCATTCAAGGCCCTCTACCAAAGTCCCCTGTGGTCATCTCTGACCTCATTTCCTATTTCCCCACTTCAGTAGATGGGGTTCTTTGGTCAACTCGTCCTCCCTGACCCCTTTAAGTGTCCTCCCTGCACCAGGCTTTGGAGAGAAGCAGGATAAGTAGATCCTATTTCTGTCTTTGGGGCTCCCCATCTTTGCAGTTAATGAGCTCATTCTACAAGAATGGGTGGGGTCAGAGGCAGCCGAGGACAAAGTAGGTTCAGAAGGGAAGCCATGTGTGGCAGTTCAGCCCTCCAGCCAGTGAAGAAGAGACTTTCTCCATCCTTAGCAGGAGGCAAAGCAGGTGAAGCCAGCTCCCTGCAGGGCCTGATAAGGCACAAACACTCTACACCAAGTGCCTAGGGCAGAGAATGCATTGGAATCACACAGCCCTGGGGAGAGTCCTACCTCTGCTGCTGTGTGGCCCTAGACAGCTCATTTCACCTGTCTAGGCCTCAGTTTGTAACTCTGAAAGTGGAAAAAATGCCTAACTTGTAGGGTTTTTTCTTTAAAGCCTGGGTGGCTCCCAAAGGTTTTTGAAAACGGGACACTCCTACAACCAATGAAACACTAGAGTAGGGCCTCCCCAGCTCCGAGAGTCAGATGTTCAGATTCGTGATGCTGAGATCCCAACCAGCTTAGCTCCTATCAGAGGAGGGGAAGGGCAGCAAAATGCCAGGATGTGGGAGAAAAGCTACCGGGATACAGACACTGGGAGAGGCAGCTGCTCCCACACACCCACATGCTGCATTCCAGCTCCCAGGCAGAGGAGCCAGAGCCTCTCTGCTGGGGACAAGCCCAGCACCTGGCAGCTGCTGGTCTTCTGTAGGGTAAAGGTGAGTGAGGAAAGAGGCAGGTGGAGGGTGGGTCCTATACTACAGCTGCAGTGCTCTCTCTTCAGACAAGAGAGGTAGTCCCAGCTACTCAGGAGAATGAGGGAAAAGAATCATTTGAGCCCAGGAGTTCAAGGTTGCAGTGAGCTATGATGATGTTATTGCACTCCAGCGTGGGTGACAGAGTGAGACCCCATCTCTAAAAAACAAAAATAAAAAATATATAAAAATAATTTTTAAAAAAGACTATATGTAGGCAACCTTGCAAAAATAAAAAGTTTTCATCCAGGGTGAATCACAGTTCTATTGAATCACAACCAATGTTCATTTAATTTATTTGGGAGAGAAGGGTCTATGAGACTTGGCAGGCTTTGTACACCTCAGGGAGCAGGATTAGCAGAGAAGGCCTCTCACGGAAGCAGCTTGACACTGGGGAGAACAGGGTGTGTGTGGAGTCAGACCACATCTGGTCCCTGCCTAGGCCTTGGTTTCCTCATCTGTGTGGTGGAGATGCCACCACCAGCCCTGCCTGCCCCGTGGTATGGAGGGGAGGAGCAGGAGCAGGGTCAGGGTTGCAAGATATGAGGGATGGGAAAGCGACTTGTTTTCATAGACCAAATTCATGCAGCTTGCGTGGGGCAGCGCCCAGGCTTCTCACTTTCTAGAGCCCTGCCAGGGAGCTGAGGGACGCCTGGGGACTGGGCCAGACATCTGCTCCATCGGCCTCCTCTGACCTTTCTCCTGCAGCCTCCCCGCTGCACTGAAGCCCACAGCTGCCTCTCTCCTTGGACCTCCTCTGGGCCCCAAAGGCACCAGGCAGAGGCTTTTGGGACCATGGTTGGACTAAAGCCTTCAGATGTGCCTCCCACAACGGCTGTGAAGTTCCTGGGGGCGGGCACAGCGGCCTGTTTTGCTGACCTCCTCACCTTTCCACTGGACACAGCCAAGGTCCGCCTGCAGGTAGGTTGTGATTGTTCTGAGGTCCAGCCCAGACAGAGTCCCTGTGCACACAGCCCCTTCCTGCCTGCCCACCCAGCTCCTCACTGCGGTTGTCCCTCAGATCCAGGGGGAGAACCAGGCAGCCCAGGCAGCCCGGGGTGTGCAGTACCGTGGCGTGGTGGGCACCATCCTGACCATGATACGCACCGAGGGCCTCCGCAGCCCCTACAATGGGCTGGTCGCCGGCCTGCATCGCCAGATGAGCTTCGCCTCCATCCGCATCGGCCTATACGACTCCGTCAAGCAGATCTACACCCCAAAAGGAGCAGACCGTGAGTGCCCAGGTCCCCATGGACACCAAGAGGCTAGGTGGAAGCAGAATTTTGGCATGTAGGTCAGGTGACCAGGGCAGTCCATACTCAGAGCAGAGCTGGGGGCGTCAGGAAGCTGGTAACAGGCACTCATGAGGAGACTCTGAGTGGCCATCAAGGAAGCTCCAGACCCTAACCCAGGAACAGACCGCAGGCACGGCAGGGGCAGCCCCGTGAAGAGGAGCGTCATCCAGAGAGCTCTTCGGTGTGGGACACTGGCCCACTCTCTGCTTCTTCCAGACTCCAGCATCGCTACCCGGATTTTGGCGGGCTGCACCACAGGGGCAATGGCGGTAACCTGTGCCCAACCTACAGATGTGGTGAAGATCCGATTTCAGGCCAGTGTCGCTCTTGGGCCCGGGAGCGACAGGAAATACAGCGGGACTATGGATGCCTACAGAACCATCGCCAGGGAGGAAGGGCTCAGGGGCCTGTGGAAAGGTGGGTTTGGACTCCAGGTTCAGGAGGCCTTCAGCAGAGCCTTCCCTGCGCTAGGGCCAGGGCAGGGAACTGAGCAAGGAGGGAACTCCCAGCACGGTGTGTTCCAGTGATTCTGAAAGAACATCCCAACCAAAAATACCTCACTGACCTGCCACAGCACCTCAAATTCAGTTCATTTTACCAACCCTTCACCATGAGCAGGCTGCTACGAGAGAGACAGAAATGGATACAAGATACCTTCCACCCCAGCAAGGCACTTGCAGACACGCAGAGGAGATAAGTCAGGAAGCAGCTATACCATGGGCAGGATGTGCTAGGTGTCACACTGGAGGTGTAGAGCCAGAGGTGGGAAAAAGCATGCCAGCTATGCAGAGAAGGTGAGGCCTAAGCTGGGCCTCAAAGGCTCCACATGTGTGGAGATGGAAGGGAAGGGCTTTCAAGGAGGGCACAGAGAAAACACAGAAGCTTTGGAAAAGCACAACCGTGAGTAGTGAGGCACAGGGAGATGCAGTGATGATGGGGCTTCTTGAGTTCCCTGTGTGTTTGTGTGGTGGCCACCTTGACGAATGCTGGAATCTCTCACATGTGGCCAAGATCACATGAATCCTTGTGGAGGAAACAGTGACCCAGTGAAACGTAAGGGCAAGACATCTGGGTCATAGCGCTGGCTCTGCGCTCACTTGCTGGGTGCCCTCCCAGAACTGTCCCCTCCTGTGAAACCAGGAGGTTGGTCTTCATATTCTCCTAGGGCCCTGCTAGAACTATATTCTGCCACTATTCCAAAAGCCCAGCCTCCCTCTTCCAAAGAATGACTTCCTTTTCTGGCTGTAGCTGGGTCTCAGAGAAGCATATTTTAACTTTGACAGCTATTACAGATTATCCTCTAAAATGTGGCCAAATCAACAAAAGTGGGCCTCTCTCTTTTCTGTCTCTGAGGAAGACATGTTAACCCTAGAAAGGAAAGTGTGGAATCTGCTCAGCTGGGGTGGGCTCCTCTGGCTGAGACCATTGGAATGGGGCACTATGCTCCAAACTGTGGCCTTGCAGCCAGGGCGTCCACTTCTCCCGTTCCCCATTCATCAGCCCCGACTCCCTTCCTAACAGGAACTTTTCCCAACATCACAAGGAATGCCATCGTCAACTGTGCTGAGATGGTGACCTACGACATCATCAAGGAGAAGCTGCTGGACTATCGCCTGCTCACAGGTGAGGCACCAGGCTCCAGGCAGACAGCCCTCCCTCAGCAGGGCAGAGACACGGAACTCCACAGAGTGGGCACCACCCAGAGATAACTAGCCTTTAGGAGGAGTAGAGAGAGCAGCAGCCAACAGTGAAAAGTGCCCAGTACATGACTGTGACCAGTGGGAAAGACGCCTGGGCTGGGAGGCTGGAGACTGGATGTGAGTCCCAGCACGACTTTTCACTGTGGATCTTCAAGCAAGGGTCTCTCACCTTCTCTGATTTCCGTTTCCTCAAACAAGGTGGTTTGGGCTGGATGACTTTCCAACTCTGGGATGGCCCAGTTCTAGTTTGCCAGTACTTACCAGGAGCTTAGCCCTGGGCACTGGGAGATATGGAAAATACTGTCCTCATGCTCGAGGAGTTCAAGGTTTAGTTGGGGACAAACAATAAACACACATGGAACAGAATGCAAGCGCACTCCTTGATATTTGCTCTTCCCTTCTCTTCTACAGACAACTTCCCCTGCCACTTTGTCTCTGCCTTTGGAGCTGGCTTCTGTGCCACAGTGGTGGCCTCCCCGGTGGACGTGGTGAAGACCCGGTATATGAACTCACCGCCAGGCCAGTACCGCAGCCCCCTGGACTGCATGCTAAAGTTGGTAGTCCGCGAGGGCCCCACAGCCCTGTACAAGGGGTGAGCCGCCTCCTATACCTCCAGCACTCCCTCCCAGAGAACTGGGGCTTCTTTCTTTTCTAATGTGGCTACCATGGGTCAATCTGGGGATGTAGTAGTAAACAGTACAAATGTAAATGCCATGAAGGAGAAGTATAAAGAACTAGGGAATAAAAAAAAAAGTGAACCAAACCTGATTTGGAGAGTTAGGGAAGCCTTGATGAGAAAAAGTAGTCTAGGGATAGGTAAAAGTACTGTCTATCTGCAACCTGTGGGGCAGGAGAGAAGGAGAGAAAGGTAGTTAGCAATCCTAGAACTTTTCCCCACATACTGCTACGACCATTGATCAAAACACTGATGGCAGCCAAAGTGCCTCACTCACTATCCCAACACACTTCACATTTTCCTGCTTCTATGCCTTTGCATTTACTGTTACCTCTGCATGGAATGCCTCTCAACATTTACAGAATCTAAATCTTAGCCATTCTTTAAGACTAGTTCATATGCCATCTCCTCCCTAACACTCTCAGGTATAAATTTTCCCTCCTCCCTGTGGACATTGGCAATACTATTTGACACCATCTTTATGTTATTTACCACCTCGTGCCTTGTATTGTAGTATTTGTAAACTATAAGTATCCCCCATGCTAAAGCACAAGCTCCTTAAATCCAAGAATCAGTACCTTATATTCGGTTGGTGCAAAAGTAATTGGGGTTTTGGACCCTGAATTTTAAATCATTATAACTAGGCTCAAACACATCTTTATTAATCAAAATAGGAAACATTACAGTCAACACATTTTTGCCAACAAGAAATAAGTTTGTTTATTCCTGTAGCGCAAAAATCCATGTTTCAGGATTCAACGAACTCTTGGAAAGCATTTTCTGCATCCTGCTGGTTGTGGAAGTGTTTTCCCTACAAAAAGTTGAGATGCTTGAAGAAGTGGTAGTTGGTTGGCAAGAGGTCAGGTGAATATGGCGGATGAGGCAAAACCTCATAGCCCAATTCATTCACCTTTTGAAGCGTTGGTTGTGCAACATGCGGTCGGGCATTGTCATGGAGAAGAATTGGGCCCTTTCTGTTGACCAATGCCAGCTGCAGGCATTGCAGTTTTCAGGGCATCTCATTGATTTACTGACCATACTTCTCAGATGTAATGGTGGTTTCACCGGGATTCAGAAAGCTGTAGTGGATCAGACCAGCAGCAGACCACCAAACAGTGACCATGACTGTTGGTGTAAGTTTGGCTTTGGGAAGTGCTTTGGAGCTTCTTCTCAGTCCAATCATTGAGCTGGTCATCGCCAGTTGTGGTATAAAATCCACTCTTCTTCTCATGTCTCAATCCAGTCGAGAAATGGTTCATTGCTGTTGCATACAGGAAGAGAAGATGACACTTTAAAATGATGATTTTTTTGATTTTTGGTCAGCTCATGAGGCACCCACTTATCGAGCTTTTTCACCTTTCCAATCTGCTTCAAATGCTGAATGACCACAGAATGGTCAACCTTGAGTTCTTTGGCAACTTCTCGTGTAGTTGTAAGAAGATCAGCTTTGATGATTGCTCTCAGTTGGTCGTTGTCAACTTCCAATGGCCAGCCACTGTGCTCCTCATCTTCAAGGCTCTCCTCTCTTTTGCAAAACTTCTTGAACAGCCACTGCACTGTACATTCATTAGCAGTTCCTGGGCCAAATGCGTTGTTGATGTTGCTTGCGAGTTGTCTCTCCTGCTTTATGACCCATTTTGAACTCAAATAAAAAATTGCTGGAGTTTGCTTTTTGTCTAACATCATTTCCATAGTCTAAAATAAATATAAAATAAACAACAAGTAATAAGTCATTAGCAGAGAAATATAACATGAGAAATGCACATTAAAATGATGCATAACGTAACCACACTTAAAATTTAAGAATGTATTCCAATATCAAACGGCAAATTTCAACAATGCTAAAACTACAATTACTTTTGCTCCAACCTAATACATCTTTTATCTCCCAAAGGCCCTAGCACAAAGCATGCACTCAGTAATGTAGGTTATTTATGATTATCCTGGTAGCTAAGCCACCACGTATTAGGCCTTGTGCTAAGCATTTGACACATGTTACCTCAACAATCCCCTGAACTGGGTAGTATTCTCCACATTCACTGAGGAGGAGATTGAGTCTCAGAAAAGTTAAATAACTTCTCCAAGATCACCAGTTAAAATGGCAGAGCCACAGTTCAAACCCAGACCATCAAACACCACATCCAACATGTTGTTGTTTATCCTACCAGTAAGCCCTTTGCTTGGCCCTCTCACCTCCCACCACTGATGACTTCAACAGATAGTTTTCTGGTGCCCAACATAAGACTGGACCCAACAAGAAAACAGGAACCACCATAGGTTCTCAAGCCTGGGAATGACATAATAAAACTATATTTCAATTGACAGACTGTTCTTCTGATAAGTGCTTCTATCATTACAGTCTTCGTCCCTAGCCACTTGTCTCAGTTGTCAAACATTTATTGAGCATCTTGTGTGTGCCAGGCCCTGTGCTATGTTTTCCTCAAAGAGCAGCAGGCAAGTAGGTGACATTTATTGAGTGTTTACTGACACTGGGCCCTGTACATGCTATGTGCTGTCCCACATTAACTCATTTAATCTACACGACAACTCTATAAGGCAGATACTGTTATTTTCCTGGTTTCACAGATGAGGAAACTAAGAAAGATTAAATAACTTGTCCAGGTTGTAAAGCTAGAAACTGGTAGAGCTAGGATTTGAACCCAGGTCTGACTCCATAGTTCACATTTGTTGCCACAATTCTACAGTCCCTGTGAGGGTCAGTAAAGGCCATGGCATGAGGTTATGGTGCCCAAGTTGAGTCCTACAGGGCAAAGAGCAACTAGCCAGGCAAGGAAGAGAGTAGGGGCCATTACAAGCAGAACATCAGGAGCAAAGGCACGGAGGTAAGAGGGCCTGGCATCAGGGAACTATAACTAGCTGAGTCTGGCAGGAGTGAAAGGACCCAGGAGGGGATTAGAGGCGAGGCTGAGAGGAAGATGGGGGCCAGGTCACAGGCTCATCCCTGAGTCCCTGGGGCACAGCTGAGCTGGGGGCCTCTCTCCCTGCTGTGCCATGGCAGCACAGGCACACTCTCTGGAATGAGCTAAATTTGGTGCCACACTGTCTTCACCCTGTGGTGCCCCAGCGTCTCAGTGTCCTGGCAGGATGTAAATGAGCCCAGAAACACCAGGCAGCAGGGTGGAGTCAGGTCAGATACTCATTTGAACCCCAGCTCTGACATTTATTAGCTGTGTGGTTTTGGTTGAGCTTCTTAACCTCCTTAGGCCTCGGTTCTGAAAAAAGAACCTGGCAGCAATCACAGCTGCCATATAGAATTGTGAGAATTAACTGCCTGACACAGTAACCTGGCTCAAAATGTTAGTTTTCTTTCCCCTCCTGACTCCAACTTCTGCCTAAATCCCCTAAGCAGAGAAGAAAACAACTGAAAGGATCTCAGAAGATGCTCATGACAAACAGAAGTCGAGGTCCTTTGCCACTAACACTGTGTACAGGGGAGAGTACAATGGGTCTCTTTGTGGTCTCCTAGTCCGTTCCACCTGATGTTTTGGTTGTTTTTCTCATCAGATTTACACCCTCCTTTTTGCGTTTGGGAAGCTGGAATGTGACGATGTTCGTAACCTATGAGCAGATGCAACGGGCCTTGATGAAAGTCCAGATGTTACGAGAATCTCCTTTTTGAAGAAGACAAGAAGGCAACTGGTACTTAACTTGTATGAAACCAAGAATGGAAGAGTGGAATGAAACAGTGGATCCACATACACATGGACACAGACTACACATGTTTACAGAACTGTTTACTTGTTGCACATTCAAGAAACAGAAGTAGAAAAAGAAGAATATTCTGCTCTTCGGTGCTTTATCTTAAGAACACTGTTTTGCACTGACAAGATGGAAAATAAATTATATTAATTTTTGAAACCCATTAGGCATGCCTAACATTTAGGCAAGAGAAACTAAAACAGATCCATTTGGATAAAATGGAAGTTTGCAAACTTGTATCCTCCATAAAATCTGATTAAATAATGAATTATAAGCAGGAAAGACTGCAAGCGCAGGACAGGAGTGGCCCACAATACAGTTCAAAATCAGCCAAGGAGTCTAGAGGGATGCTACCAAAGCATCACAAAGCTGTGACTGCAGGCCTCATGGTCACACATGGATCATCCACCTATTTGTAATGTGTCTGCCATGTAGAATCCACTGGGATTCTGAGAAGTATGAGAAACAAAAGGGAAAACCTAGAACCTGTGCCAAAGGAGCCCTGATGAGCCTATGTGAGGCTGAGGCTTGCAAATATTCCCTTGATTGGAGAATCAAGAGGGCAGCCCCCTTTCCTGTAAAATGGGGGTAATAGTCCCTTCCCTGCCTACCTTGCCAGGGTGAAGTTCATGTGAGAAGCTGGGCATGAGGGCACTTTATAAAAACAAAAGCTCTGGACAAATGTAAATATAAGGACACTGCCTTGGGAGAGATTTGTCAGGATAGAAAGGAACTGTCTTTTGAAAGACACGGTTGTCTAGTAAGACCAAAAGAACCAGAGACTCAGGGGCTGCGGGTGACAGTGAATGACATAAATCTGCAGGAGCTCTGCTCCCTTGCAGCCCCTATTCGCTGGCTTGATTGTGAGCATGCTGAAGGGTTGCGGGGCTTGGGGGAAAGTGATAGATGTCTGGCCAAGAACCTAAATTAGCAGGACTCAGAATTTTTTTTTTTTTTTTTTTTTTTGAGACAGAGTCTCACTTTGTTGCCCTGGCTAGAGTGAGTGCCATGGCGTCAGCCTAGCTCACAGCAACCTCAGACTCCTGGGCTCAAGCAATCCTACTGCCTCAGCCTCCCAGGTAGCTGGGACTACAGGCATGCGCCACCATGCCCGGCTAATTTTTTCTATATATTTTTAGCTGTCCAATTAATTTCTTTCTATTTTTGGTAGAGATGGGGTCTCGCTCTTGCTCAGGCTGGTCTCGAACTCCTGAGCTCAAACAATCCTCCCGCCTCAGCCTCCTAGAGTGCTAGGATTACAGGCGTGAGCCACCACGCCCGGCAGGACTCAGAATTTTTGAAAAATTACTATGACTCAATAAAGGAATTCACACCTCAGGTGGGGAATAAGAACAGTTGGTTTTTTGCCTTCTCTTTCTTGGACAGAAATTTCCATTCTCACTTCAGGCTTCCTATTTGTCAGGGTTGGGCCAGATCTGCCCCCACACACCTACCCTTCTGTCCTCTCTGACCCGTTTGACTGCAGGCAAGTTCCTCTACCTTTTAGGGCTTCAGCTCCTCCATCAAAAAAGACAGGGTTGAACCAGACGACCTGTTTCCAAGCTTAAGACTACATACATGTCTTTCAGATTGATAATGGGGACCCAGAATGCCAGTATCTTTTTCTGCTTCTTGGCAGCCTTGTGTGGTTCTGATGATAGTCAGAACTGGGTTCAAACCTTACCCCACCCCACCTTACTAGCCACCTAACCATAGGAAATCCTTGCACTTCAGTGTCCTACCAGAGAGGTGGGAATAACAATTCCTCCCCTATAGGCTTGTCGTGAGGGTTGCTCTAAAATGCCTTGGAATACAGGAGGTGCTCCTAATGGCATTTCCCTCGTTCCCCACTCTGACTTCTCTGCACCCTGCGAAAAAGCAAATATCCATTTATCCTCAGCACTTTCCTAAAGTTAAATTATAACTTGAGATAATCCATATATACAAACTGGATAAAAGGAAAAATAAAAGCTGATTTCATATCTGGCTTGGCTTTCAAATAAAACCCATATTTAAAAGTTTCTCCTTCTTTGACTTAACTGATAATGTACAAATCACTCTCAAACTCCTGGTCTCAGTTTGTAAGTTTCTAGGGGCCAGGAACTATGTCATCCATGAATTTCTGTGTAGCAATATTAACACATCATCTACCCAGAGGATAGCATTCAGATGATGGCTCTGAGAGGCGGGTAGATAAATGCTTCTAAGATATTTTGACTGGGATCAGGGGCCTAGTGAACTCCAAGTCCAGCCTCTTAGAGAAGAGAAAACAAAATTTGTGGGAAGTCTTGTGAGGTTTCCAGGTCAAAATACTAGGAACTCTTTCCTCACTTCTTAAAGCAGGGGTTGGACCAGACGACCTAAAGCTCTTTAGTTCTGTGATTCCAAGAACTGAGAGACGGTTTCTTCCAAGCTGCAGCATGTGTGCCCTTTCCAGTCCTGGCCTCAACTTCTGCTTCCAAGAAACCAGGGATGTGAACTCATGAGAAGGTCAGATCACCAGGTGAGGCTGACATCTGAGTTCTGTGCCCTATTTCCCCACCACACACCTGGAGTCACCTCCAGTCAAGTCATCCAAAAGAAATCTGCTTTTTATCAAATTCTTCTAGTATATCAGGTAAAAAATAAGATAGTTTGAGCCCTGACTCAGCCACATTAGTGACATAATGGATAACTGACTTCACAGAAATCTTTTAAGTAAAGGTAGTTTTTTTTAAAAGAGTATTTTATTCAGGAGGAATGAATGTTAATTAAGGAAATATGATTATTAATATATCTTTGTAGATGAGTTTATTTGTTTCAGGGTACTTTGAATACTGCCCTGAAACAGTATAAACAGTTTAGCAGTGTGCTACACAAATGAATATATTCATTGTACATACATTGTAAGCCACATATTATATCAGGTGCTGAGGCGAACAAGACCATCCTGTCTTCAAGGAGCTCTTTGGTGTGGAGGATGGTAGGGCAGAAAAGACAAATAAACCACGAACCATCAATGACCATACTGAGTGATAAAAGCTACAAACAGGTACACACAAGGCACCCGACAGTGCGTACACAGATGAGGGACACCTGATCTGGTTTGGGGGCCAGAAAGCTGCTTGGAGGAACACACCTAAAGGACAAATAGGAGTTATCAGGCAAAGGAAGGTTGGTGAAAGTTATTCTAGGCAGGGTTCATACAAAGGCCCAGAAATAAGACAAAAACAAGGTGCTTTCAAGGGATTATCAGCTGTCAGTATGGCTGCACTGCAAACTTAAAGGCAAGAAGTGAGACAGATGGGGATGACAAGGAAAACAAGGGCCCTGCAAGGCTATAGATGCCACGTATTATGGACCGAATGTTTGTGTCCTCCCCAAATGTTTATGTTGAAGCCCTAACCGCCAATGTGATAGTGTTTGGAGATGGGACTTTTGGGAGGTAATTAGGTTTTAATGAGGTCATGAGGAGAGGGTCCCCATGATGGGATTAGTGCCCTACAAGAAGCAGCACAACGAGAAGCAACCATCTCCAAACCAGGAAGAGAACTCCCACCAGAAACCAAACTGGCAGGAACCTTGACCTTAGACTGTCCAGCCCCAGAACTGTAAGAAATAAATTCCTATTGTTTAAGCCACCCAGTCTATGGTATTTTGTTATGGCAGCCCAAGTTGACTAATAAACTACATTAATGAATTGGAGCATTCTTAGGACAGTGTGGTGCTACTGAAGTGTTTTAAGAAGAGAATGACTGGCTGCAATATGGAGACTGAATTAATGGCGTAGACTCTGGTCCTAGGAAGATGAGGCTGTTGTTGAGACTAAGGTAAGAGTACTGGAAGTGGGAGTTGAATGAACAGAATAGTAATAAAATCAGTTGTACTTGGCAAGATTCTGTTTGGAAGGAGTAGTGAAAAAAGGATGATGCTCACATGTTTAAAATAACATTTAAACATCCTCAGTAATATCCCCTAACAAATCATTTTCTTGCCTCTGAACCAAACCCTTTGGCAGTAGCAGACTCACCATCTCCAAAGGTTCGATTGTAGAATAGCTCTGTCTGGGAGAGAGCTTTCTAATACTGAATCAACGGCACAGATGTAGCATTTATTGCTTTGCTCTCTTCTGTCATTTCTGAGACACATGCTGAGTCTGACACACATGAGGAACTTAGGTGTCCCTCTGATGGACTCCCACAATCACAGTCACACTGTGTTGTATTTCACTGGTTGTGTGTCTGACTTCCCCACTAGCCTGTCAGTTCCTTGCAGGCATGCACAGGGTCATGTTTACAATTGTATCCACAGCCTTGAGCAGAGTGCCTGGAATATTGCAAAATGAATGAGTAAATGAATGAATGAATTTTTTAGTTGATTTTTTAAATTGTGGTAAAATACATGTAATATAAAAATTTATGATCTTAACCATTTTTAAATGTAGTTCAGTGATATTAAGTACATTCTCACTGTTCTGCAACCATCACCACCATCCACCCCCAGAATGCTTTTCATCTTGTAAAACTGAAACTCTATACCCATTAAACAATAACTCCCCATTCTCCCTTCCCACAGCCCCTGCATCCACTATTCTACTTTCTGTCTCTATGAATTTGACTACTCTAGGTGTGTAATGTAAATGGAATTATACGGTATTTGTCTTGTTGTGAATGGCTCATTTCACTTAGCATAATGTCCTCAGGATTCATCCGTGCTGTACCATGTCCGTGATATGTATTGTATTATATTATGCTTATCCATTCATCTGTCAGTGGGTACTAGGGTTGCTTCCATCTTTTAGCTATTGTGAATAATGCTGTTATGAACATGGTGTGCAGCTATTTCTTCTGAGACACTGTTTTCTAATCTTTTTAGGTATATATCCGAAGTAGCATTGCTTAGTCATATGGTAATTCTATTTTTAATGTTTCGAGGAATCACCATACTCTTTTCCACAGCAGCTGAGTCATTTTACATTCCTACCAGCAGTGTAAAAGGGTTTCAATTTCTTCGCATCCTCATCAACACTTATTATTTTCTGGTGTTTTGATAGTAGCCATCCTAATGGCTCTGAGGTGGT